TGGCCCAGGGAAGGTTTGTTTTATGGTGAAGCTTTGAAAATAATCCAGTTGCCAGTTTTATTTTTCATGAATTGACGTAATACGTACCGAACTAGAAACACTAAAAATACTTCATTTAAGGTGCATCCAGGTAGCCAGCCTCATGCAGCTGCCGTAAGGATGTCACAGCCCCAAGAATCAAGTATCTGGAGCCCAGGGAGGCTTTGCCAGCCCCACACACTCACAACCTCCCTGCAGTGCACACTCTGGCTGGGGGGCTGTGACCTATTGTCGTTAGCTGTCTTCAAGTTGGCCCTGACTCATGGTGACCCCATGCACAGTGGAACAAAACGCTGCCCAGTCCTGTGCCATCCCCATGATCAGTTGTGGGTCAGACCATTGTGATCCATAGGATTTTCACTGGCTGATTTTCAGAAGTAGATCACCAGGCCTTTCTTCCTAATCTGTCTTAGTCTGGAAGCTCTGCTGAAACCTGTTCAGCATCCTAGCAGTGTATGAGCCTTCACCAACAGACGGGTGGTGGCTGCGCATGAGGTGCGTGGCTGGGAATTGAACCCGGCTCTCCTGCGTGGAAGGCGAGAATTCTACCACGGAACCACCACTGCCCCCTGCAATCTATTGAAACAGGTCTGTTTACAGCTGTTTTAAGACAGTGCGCATTTCAGGAGATCTGACTGTGTCGAAGAGAGTGTCTAGAACAGACACATCCTCCTCTCCTCAAGCCAGGTGCCTGTGTACCCCCAACGGCACCTCGGCTCTCTGTAGAGTCTGCTGCTTCGCTGGGTTTCTGGGTTTGTCTTTCTTTCCCACCGGTGAGACCTGGTTCCCCAGCCCGCCCATTGCACCTGCCTCTCTTCCAGCCTGTCCTGCTGCTGCCCCGTGGCCTGCGCCAGCCTCGCCCAGGACGGCGGCTGCAGGTCACTGTCCTGACTCTACCCTATGGATATTCCAATTTCCTTGCTGTCCTAAAGGCCAAAGCTTCTCCCAGGAGCGCTCAACTGAGTTCCACTCAGGCCCCGACTCAGCAACTTGCTGGCTGCATGGCTGCAGGGAGGTGACTCAGACTCCTTGTCTGTGTAAAAAGGGTGAAGTGCCTACCCCCGGGGCCGGGGGAGGAGGGAACCAGATGTGGAGTGGGGAGGCACCAAGTCAGGCTGGAAGCAAACCTCTCAGCTTCTATGATGCTTGCCTGGCAGTCCCAGCCCGGCTGCCTTCTCCCGCGCCTCAGCCCTGTCACAGCAGCCCCGACACATAAGGTCGGTCTGGTCCCTCACTGCTTCCAGGTGAGTCTCCTGCTTCTAACACCTTGACAGAGCCCAGGAGCCCTGACCGGGGCCAACGGGCACCCCGCTGCCGACCCCTGGCTCACAGAGGGAGGGGGCAATAGCTTCTCAAGGACTGAGGCCACCAGGGCTGGCCCCGTGCGGACGTTAAGGTGTGCAGCCCGTCCCCGGGGCTGCCTTACACGGGATGATCTGGATGACCCTGGCCTTCTTCATGTTCGCTGGCAAGTTGCCTGTCCTCATGTTCTCTTTCATGATCCGGACATTTGTCAACTTCTGCAGTTAGAAAAACAATGACAGGTTAAGACCCTGCCGCTCCGGAGTGAACCACTCCCTCCTCGCCAGTACTAACCGGCAGGGCACCTGTTAACGGGAACTATCTGCCTCCCTCTGCAGCCAGGCCCTCGGTCTTGGAAATGAAAATGCCTGCAGGGCAGGCTCCCTGCCCATGGGTCTAAGCACTGAGGTACTCTGCTTCTTCCTCCCTGGAGTCCCCCGGGCCAGGCAATTCCCCTGCCTTTTCTGGGTCAGACAAGAAGGCAAGTGGTTGACTGTGGCTTCATTTGAAGTGGCTCATTTTCCTTGGTTCCTGTGCAACCCAGCCCAGCCACCCGCCCTGAGGAGGTGACGCCTGTGGGCCCCTACCCGGAACTCCTCCTCCAGCCCGATCTTGTCAAAGTGGCTGGCGGAGCCGTGCAGCGTCTGCAGGTGCTTCTCCAGGGAGGCCACGTCCAGCTCCGTGTCGCCATAGAGGTAGTACTCCAGTAAGGCTTGGTAGATGAACGTGTACTGCATCTGCGGGGACCCAAGAGGGGACCAGCGCCCTTGACTCTGCCCGGCAGCCTCGGCCGCTTGGAGCTCAGCCCCCAAGGGGCCAAGGAAGGAGGCTTAGGGGCTCAAGTCAGATCCATGGCCATTTCTAAGGACCACTCTGGCCCATGAGTAAAGATTGTAATGACAGCTGACATTTCCTGAGGACTTTCTCCCTGCCAGGCACCATCGTGAAGGTGGTAGCAGAATCACCCCCATTTTACAGGAGGGCACGTAGGCACTGGGGGTGAGGGAGTTACCTGAGGTCCCAGAGGAGTGAGCGCTGGCAGTGGAGCCAGGTGCTCTGACCCAGGGGTGCTCCTGGACAGGTGTTACAGTGAGCCGAAAGGCACCGATTAGCCCACGGCCGGGAAGTGCAGGGCACCGGGTTAGCCCACAACTGTGGGGTGTGGGGCACCGGGTTAGCCCACAACTGTGGGGTGCGGGGCACCAGGTTAGCACAGGGCCGTGGGGTGTGGGGCACCCAGTTAGCATAGGGCCATGAGGTACCACAGACCCCTATGCTTGCTTTGTGGAGCTCAAACACAGCGTAGGGGCTGGGCCTGAGGGAACCATTACTTACGTCTGTTTGAACCATCTGCGGGCGCTGATTGCGTATTCTCGAGACAAACTCGAAGACATCGACCTTCTGCTCCGTGTGCATCATATCCATCATGGCGTCAATCACAATGAAGGTGCCTGTCCGGCCCACACCCGCGCTGGGGGAGAAAGGGAGACACCGTATCGTGAATCATGGCCCCCAGGAAAAGGACAAGGCCCTGGAAGATGCCTGCCAACCAGGACAGAGGACACGCCATAAATCAGGAGACTTACACCCCAAAGTTGCTTGATACAACTTTCTTTGGTTCATAAAGGGCAAGTTTATCGTGTGGCCACCAGGGGGCGCCGTCGTCCAGCCCCATGATCTCAAACTGTCCCCCAGTAACTGGAAAACGAAGGAGCCCTGGCCGCTCAGTGGTTGTCTCAGAAACGACCGCTGAGTTGCCTGACTGGGGCGTCTGAGTCCTTTTTTCCTCTCTTACCAGATGCTGTCTTCTTGTTAGCACTTGCGTAATTGGACTTTTTGGCTCAATGTCCCACCTGACATGGGTTTTCCAGGTTTTTCAACACATGGGGTTGCCACAGTCGAAATCGACTTGACGGCAATGGTTTTGTTTTGTTTTTTATAAGCAAGGAGCTGCTCAGCCAGGCCGGTCACCCTCGAGCTTTGGGAGTGCTGAATGGGAGGTAGCGGCCCACTCGGCCGGTCTCTGCCCAGGCCCTTTGCACGCTCTGAGATCCTGACGTCCACCCCTCAGCTGGCTGGTGACTGCTGGTCCTCAAGGCCTTGGCGAGACATCCCCTCCCTCGGCAGCTGCCCCCAATCCCCAGATCTGGGTGTCCATTCCCTCCAGGGCACCCCTACCGCGCTCCTGGACGTGCCCCCAGCACTGCCCTCTTGTACTGGCCCTGTCTGGTCTCCTCTGACAGAGAGCAGGCGGGCGAGCTGTTCTTGCTCAGGGTCATCTCCCCAGCACCCAGGACGGGGCACTCAGATGGCGCTCAGTCAACGTTCGTGAACGGATAACCCAACGGCCCAGTCCCCCGTGCCACTGTGATCAGAACTGCAGGCAGAGCCCGGGGGGTCAGAGTCGGGGGGCCTGAGCTTGGCTTCCTCTGTCCAGCTACTGCTGTATTAACCACGTTAAAAACGAAGTGATCTTTTTAACAAAAAGTTTCACAACTTAGGAATTAACAGCCCCTTGTCTTGTCACTGGTGACACAGTGGTTGAGTGCTCAGCTGCTAACCAGAAGGTCAGCAGTTCGAATCCACCATGGAAACCCTATGGGGCAGTTCTACCCTGTCCTATAGGGTCGCTGTGAGTCAGAATCGACTCGACGGCAGTGGGTTTTGTTTTGTTTTGCTTTTTGTCTTGTCAAGCACTTTCCTGTTTGATGGGGAGGGGACCACTGCTCTAAGGTTTTTAGCCAGTCACTGGGGAGAGCAGATAAAACATGAGAGGCCTTGGAGGGGTCTTTACAAAAAACAGCTGCCGTCTCGTGGACTCGGACTCCTCGTGACCCCATGTGTACCAGAGTAGAACGGTGCTCCATGTGTTTGCAATGACTGAGTCTTTGAAGTAGATTGCCAGGCCTTTTATCCGAGGCTCCTCTGGGTGGACTTGAACCTCCCACCTTTCAGTTATCAGGTGAGCACGCTAACCATTTGCCTTCCATTTTGCAATGCAGGAAATTGAGGGCCAAAGATAGTTTACTCATGGTCCCTCAGCTCCTGTGTGGGCCGGACACCGGGGCTCCCTTCTGACTCCCAGTCTCACCGTCCCTGCCTCTCGGCAATGAGAGACACTGCAGGAGCCCCAGGAGGGGCTGGGCTGGGGCGGAAGGCATGGACAGCCTCTTCGGGTTCTGACTGGGCATCCACCAGGAGGACGGCAAGTCGCTAAAGGAAGCCACTCGTCTTTGTCTTAAAACACAACATGCATGAGCCGGTTAACCAGCAGGAACCTGGGGCCTTTCCACGTGTGCAGTTTCCACAGCAGAAGGCTTTGCACACGTGCCCCTGAGGGGAGTGATCTGCGCCGCTCTCTGCAGCTTCGATGCCCCCGGCAAATAAAACACCAACGTGAAAACAGCCAGTGGACGCAGAGACGGGCAAAGCTAAGTGGGGACATGTTCTGGGAAAAGCAGTCATTTTTGGAGCCCGCTTTTTTACAACCTGAGGAAGAACCACTGTGGTGGCCGTGGTGGTGGCTGTGGTGGCCGTGGTGGTGGTGGCTGCGGTGGCCGTGGTGGCTGTGGCTGTGTTGGCTGTGGTGGCGGTGGCTGTGGTGGCGGCGGCTGTGGCTGTGGTGGCTGTGGTGATGGTGGCTGTGGTGGCTGTGGTGG